TTTTTCATTTTTACCTGTATTATCCCCTCATGATCGCCTCTCGAGTGACCTTCCTCGCCCGACGACCAAGTCCCGTGCCAATGGGTCCCATCGGCCATCCACGTGGCCTTCGGGACCTTAACCGGTTCATTAACCCCGAGCTCGACTTGCTTCTTCTTAGCCCTAATCTCGGTTTGCGCATTATAAGCATCCGACCTCCGCCTAATCGAGTCGGGCAGCGCGTTTATCCTCACCTTAAACTCGTCATATTCCCTCTTTACCCTCCGCCTGTCCCTCACGAAATCCACGCGAACCTTATTCTTCAACGGGTCTCGTTTTTGCCCAAAATATGCCTCGGGATTTCTCGGCTCGATTTTGTGCTTCCTGCAAAACGGGACCCACACTCTCGCGAAGCTGGCAGCTTCGGCTAAGGCCTCGAACGTGATTAACGAGCCCCCATCATCCGAGAGGTAGCATGCAACTTTTTCAACTGGATAATCGACGGCTAGGATCGAAAGTATAGTGTTGGCTGTGACAAGTGGAGGTTCTTTTTCAGGATCGGCTGTTGAGACGAATATATCAATCCCGGGAAGGTCGGATAGCTTCTTGGGATTGCGGAGGTTTGGTTCGGAGGATTCGAATCGGTCTTTGAGGACTGTGAGGTCCGTGACTCGTTTGACGGGGCAGAGTTTCGGGAGTTGGTCGAGAAGCCAAGAGAAGGCGAACCAGATCTCGCAGATTACTGACATTAGCCATAGCCACATGGCTTCCTGGTTCGGGTGCATTATTCTCCATGTTAAGAAGCAGGCAAGTACACCGAGACGAATGGCCATCAGTAATCTGGATTATATATGATTAAACTTAGCAAATAGAATAACTTCTTATGAAGCTAAGAAAAGACATTGCCAACAAAGAGTGAGTGGTTTGTTTAGTCACAAAATTCTTGAAAAGTAATGATACAAATCGATATTTTCCAACATAACACACGACTGACATTGGCAAATTACGCAATATTTTCATTCGAAATTTACCAACATTGGCCAATTATTCATCGGCAAATTATTCAAGACAATGTTACTCTCAGAAGCTTAGCTATAAACCTCTTATGGAACTATGAAAAGACATTGTAACAAGAGTGAATGGCTTGGGCTCAGTCACAAATTCTTGAAAAGCAATGACTTGAACAATATACGACACGCAAGACACATAAAAATTTTCGACAAAACAACTTAATATTGGCAAATTTCGCAAAATTTCCTGCAGAACTTATGAACATTGGCCAATTATTCATTAGAAAATAATTCAAAACACACAAGGGTACACATAAACCTCATCGACTAAAGCAACATTTCAGGCAATTACACATTACAATTCCATCAATACTACTTTTTAAAAACTCAACAAAATCACCTAAATATTTCAAGAATAGAAAAATACTTTAAAATGAAGAAAATACCTGTATGGACTGATAATGGCTGCGGAAACTCCCATTTTCCTCGTCAACGGCCGATTCCTTCTATCGCTAAAATCGGGAGGCTTCTCATATCTCTCTGTACCTCTCCCAAACTCATACCCATCTCTCGGCCAATGCGCATTCCCATACCCATAAGTCCCCTTCGTCTCGAACAACCACCGATTATGATCGAAATCTTGATTCGGGTTCTTTATCGACTGCACCAGAGAAAAATTCTTCTCCAGTTTCACTCCTTTCCCCCAAGAAGGCAGAGGATTCGCCCGATCCTTCTCCTCCGAAAAGGGCTCTTCTTCCTCCTCACTCTCATTACCATTGACCTCTTTATACGGCTCCTTACATCCCGGGCAATTCCCTTCGCCGATTTTCAAACAGTCCACATAACAATCCTCGCATATCCCAAATCCACATTCGCAGTAACTCTTGAACCTCCCGTTAGCAGCCTTCTCGTCACAGCCCAACATCCCGCAGATTTTCTTTGATTTCTCCACAATCGGCTCGATTTCCGAGCTTTTTCTGACGTGGGCTTTTGTAGCCGAGTTGAACCCGCCGGTGTAGATCGTGTCCTTGATCTGGCTCTCGTTAGGGTTTGTGTTTTCAAGATTTTGGGAATCGGAAAACGGGCGGCGATCGGGAGTTGGGGGAATGTGGACAGTGTAGGCCACGAATTCTTCGGTCGAGCTGTCTTTCGAGAAGGAAAGGTACCTTCCGTCAGATGAGGCTCGGCGGCTCGTCTGGTTGAGTGGTGAATTCGGGTTGTTCGAGATGGAGTGACGGGGCATGGGGCTCGTCAGCCCAAGGCTCCGGGAGCCGCCGGAGGAGGTGACCGTGATGGTCACCGGAGATGAATTCGGGGAGTTAGATGCCATTTTCACCATTTTTTATTTTTTTTTTTGAG